TCTTCATCCAGCAAGGTTAGTCCGGACGGAATCGGTGCCCTGCGATATCAACAACCCCTTGAGGAAACCCCCCAGGTATTCGGACCTGCACGTCAGCCAGACGCTCCCCAAAACCAACAAGCTCAACAAGGTGAGCACCTCTGCCCGCACCCTCGTGCTGCTGCCGAAAGAGATCCGAGTCTCAGGCACGATCACCACTACGTGATTTAGGCAGTAGGAGCTGCCTAAAAACCTTCTGGGGGGGGCTTAAATTAAAGAAATAATCCCACGGAGCGGTGCTAATTCCAGAAGCAGAGAGAGGTTGACCTTGGGGTTGGGTTTGCCAGCAGGGGGTTGTGCCACCCCCAATATTATTTCTTTGGAAAATAAAATGGGACCAACTCTTGCGGAGTAGCCCGTGTCCCACCTGTCCTGCTCCACCGTGGCCTCTTGGTCTCCAGATTTAAGCTGGGGTTTGGGGGTCATTTGGGGTCACTGCTACCACCTGAGACTTTGGTAAATAACAAATTACAGATAAAACGAACCCAGAGTTTGATTGTTCTCCTGGCAAAGCTGGTCAAGCCAGACCTGGTGGCATACCAGGCTCACTTGCTTTGGCCCAGTGTTAGTAGCTATAAACCCGACATGGGGTTATTTTTCATGAAATTTAAAGTTTGTTGCCTTCAGTAGAGAATTTCTCACAAGGGCGGGAGGTGCTCAAAGAGAGCGAGATCCTTGGTGGGATGGGGAACAGGTAGTTAAATCCTTCAGTGTTGGTTTAAAAAGTAGTTAGAGTGTCACGTGTGTTAGGATGGTGTGTATCCAGTGGCCTCCCTGGAAAGCCCAGCTCATTTAAAAATTAATCAGTTTGGACAAAGTCACCTGCTGGGCGGGGAGCTCGTGCAGATTTTCTGCTTTGGAGGGGTCTTGCCATGGGTGCAGCTCTCTGGAGATGGGAGTGCTCAGGGTTGCCGAAAGTCAGACCCTATAAAGTGTCTCCAAGTTGGGCAGCAAGCTCATAAGCTTGGGAAACTCTGGCCTCAGTTGCCCTTTTCAGAGCTAAGATATCCCGTCAGGTTCTTCTGGCTGTTTGCTCCCAGGTGGCCCTTTCTCCCATCGCAGAGGTGCACCCGAGACTGCTGTCCTTGCCTTGATCAGGAAGGGTCAATGATGTCCAAGCAATGTCTTCTGTTGCATTGACTGATTCTTTCAAACCTGCCTCAACTCAGCCCCCTGCTCCGAGCGAGGCAATAGGGTTTTTGACTCAAAGGAGGTCAGCAGAAGCTGCCAGGTCCTCAATGTCTCCAAGGACTGAACCCCAGGGAGGTGTTCCCTCAGATCTGGTCTTGGTGACTGTGGCTCTGCAGAGCTAGCAGAGCCCTCAGCCATGGGTGGGGCCAGCAAAGATGCCTCATTGCTGGTATGAACTTGCCTTGGTGCAAACCATGAATAGAAATGCCTTTGGAAAAGGTCAGATTGGGGCTTTGGTTGTTTTCTAGGGCTTCTGGAAACGAGGGACTGTGTAGCTCTTGCTCCATAGGGTCCTCTGCACTGGACCACCTTGAGGTAGCACTGGCTGGCAGCGCTCTCACTGGCTCTTCCCTTCTTCTCTCCTTCCCTGTATCCCACAGGACCACATCCCAGTGCCCTACCAGCCAGACTCCAGCAGCAACCCTTCCTCCACCACTTCCTCCACACCCTCCTCGCCGGCCCCGCCGCTGCCGCCCAGTGCAACGCCCCCGTCCCCCCTGCACCCCTCCCCGCAGTGCCCGCGCCAGCAGAAGCAGTTCAACCTGCCAGGTACCTCTGCTTGATGAGAGGGGTTTGTGCCCCGGGTTGTCCTCAGGGTAAGGACCTGCTCCAACCACTCTGCTGCCTGGACTTAGGCTGCGACTGGGAAAAGTTGGAAGCGGAAATGAGCAGAAAAGATGAGTTTAGGAAAGTTCAGGTTGGAAGGAAGTTTGGGAGTCTCTCTGGTCAAGCCTTCTGCTTGAAGCAGGGTCAGAGCTCAAGGCTTTGACCCACTTTGGTATTGAAAACCTTCAAGGATCCATTCAGCGCGTTGGGTAGTGGTAGGGCTAGAGGGGATGGATTAAAGCTGGAGATGGATCGGTTCAGATTGGACGTTAGGAAGAAATTCTTCCCCATGAGGGTGGTGAGACCCTGGCACAGGGTGCCCAAAGACGTGGTGGAAACCCCCTCCCCCTCCCTTGGAGTATTTAAAGCCAGGCTGGATGGGGCTCTGGGCAGCCTGATCTAGTGGGGGATGTCCCTGCCCATGGCAGGGGGGTTGGAACTAGATGATCTTTAAGGTCCCTTCCAACCCTGACAATTCTATGATTCTATAACCTGCTGTGCTTGAGACTACACAAACCTTTCAGGCATGACTTCTCCGTGATGTGCCTCTACAGCAAATGGGAAACAAGGTCTTACACCTCTACAAGAGTAATTTGGGTTGACTTCACTGTGTCTTTGGGGTGATGGGCCTCCAACAAGCTTGCCGGGGTGATAGTGGGGAGTTGCTGATGCTGAGTGTATCTGACATAGCTTGTCCCACTGAGTCTTGTCTGGGTACCTGGCACCCATCTCTTCCTGGAGCTCTTCAGGGATAGTAGAAGAGGCAATTTGGTCACAGTGGCTGCAGGACACAGGAGCTGCATTAAATGGCCAAAAACTCCTTCCTGGCTTGAGGATGTGCCGAAGCCTGTCCCAGCCTGTCCCTGGAGCTTCCCCGAAGGTCCTGGCATCATTCCTGGCAGTGTGATGGGGCTCAGCTGTCCTCAGCCAGGCCAGCTGCTCCCAAAAAGAGCCTGGTGAGGGGAGAGGAAGGGGACCCATGGCTCTGACCCATTTCTGAGATGCTGAAGCCCTCATGGCTGCCCTGGGTCTGGTGACCCCTGCTTGGACTGTGGTCTCAAGCTACTGAGAGGCTAAGGTCCCTCCTGCATCCCCAAACCCCCAGGTTAACAAACTGGTCTGGTCGGAGGGAAGGTCAGAGCTGCTTCTCCAGAGGAACCAGATGTGCTCTGCTGATCCCGCTGTGCCGTGGTGATTCTTCCCTTCTGTCTTGACAAACCTTCACCTAGAGAGGAGGAGGAGGGAGACAAGGGGGGATTTGACTGGCAGGATCTATCACCACAACAACCATCCAAAAGCTGGTAATATAAACCCAGCAACCAACCGACAAAGGTCTTTTTGTGCCTGGTGAGGTTGCAACCGTGCACCGGTTTCCCTTACGGGAGCGCCTGGAGCTCTGGTGGGATGCTGGGGGTGTGTGAGGAAGACTGCAGAGGAGAGAGTTCGTGGTGGTCCGGCCAGAGCCGACGCATCCTGACATCTCAGCAGCGTGATAGCTGGGCTCACAGCCGGCAACAAACCCACCCTTTGGACCCTGCTTGGGTCTGGGAGAAAGGGACAGAGGGTCCAGCAGTTTGGTGACTCTGTGATGCATCACTTCTGGAGCTGAGACCTCTGTGCACGTCCTTTGAGATGTGGTTTCACGTTGTTTAAAGCAGAAACCACAGAGGTAACCCCCAGAGCAAGCAGCAGCATCTCCTTACGGGGACCACAACATGCTGCTACTGCCATGACTGCAGCTGGGTCAGCACCTCTGGCACGCTCGCCTGGCTGGTGGCGATGGAGCAGGGCAGGATCAGACCCCGGCAGCTCAGGGCGGGTGGTTGCTCCTTGCTTTCGTGCCCTTGATGAGCAGAGCCCTGCGGCAAACGGGAGCTCATCTGACACAAATCAAGGACTTACTGTGCTTTCATCTTCCCACGCGGGAAGTTCTCCGTGCTTCATCTCATCGAGATGGTCATCTTGGGGATTAGGATTTGAGCCTGGAAATCGCAACACCATGACCTTTTCCTGCCAGAATTACCTTTGAGTCTTCTTTGATCTCAGCTCAGAGGGTGCTCAGGTCCCGTGGCAGAGCTGAGGTTGGTCTTTGGAGTCTCAAAGCTGAAGAGCAGAAGCTGAGGGACAGTCTTTGGGGTCTTGAAGCTTAAGAAGAAAGTGCCTTCTGAGTTGATGCCACGCTCTGGTGGTCTCAGCAGCTCTGTCTTGCTTCAGACCCATTACCTGCCCACACATGTGAGTCAAATCAGCCCTTGGGCTTTGCCCGCTGGTGATGGGGAGCTGGTGGAGGGTACCACCACCCAGAGCCCTTCTGCAACATTTCCTTCAGTGTGCCGAGAGGCAGGCAGGGAGCCCAGCAGGGATGTATCTCTGAAGCGTGGAAAAAACATGCAGTTGGGTGGGCTGGATTGGGCAAAAATGAGCAGCAGCTACAAACTCATCGCTTAGGGGTCTCCCTGATGCTGAGCAGTTCCCGAAGGTCGGTTGGGAGATGAGCGCTCAAACCTCACGGGCAACCGGGTGTTCAAACCCCACAGGGAACTTTGCAGATGCTATAGAGCAATAACTGATGGCGGGAGAAAAAAAAACCACCCATGTTTGAATCCAGCCAGATTGATAGAGGGTCTTAATTTTTTTGGCCTGGGCACCCTATGTGCCATCGTGGATGGCATTGTCTGGAGGCATGGAGGTGGGAAAGGTTGGGTCATGCTGGGGGGAGAGTTTCATGGGATCTCTCCAGCTTGTTGCTCTGCAGGTTGGTTTTTAACTCCTCTTTTTTCCCTTTTCCAGCTTCCCATTATTACAAATACAAGCAGCAGTTCATTTTCCCAGGTATGTCCCTTTGAAAACCTCTCCGGTAAAGCAGGGTGCTGGGGTATCAGTTAGGAGGGTTGGGTGCATGCCTGGCTCTCCTAACCCCTGGATTTGTGCAGAGGGGGCTGTGCTCAGCTGAGTTTTCTCCCTCAAACCAGTATATTGCTGCAGGACCGTGTGCTATGGAGATGCCGCAGGGCTGGGTGGCCTTAAGTTACACCCAGCTTGGGGTGTAACTAAACTGGACCTGGGGACAAAAGGTGGTTATCGGTGCCGTTTCATTCCCCTGGGTGCCCCCAGCACTGGAATGAGCTCCTGGTGACTCCCAGCTCCCTCTCACTTCACTTTTTTCTGCCCAGATGTGGTGCCTGAAACGCCAACCCGAGCCCCGCAGGTGGTCCTGCACCCCGTCACCTCCAACCCCATGTGAGTACCTCCTCCTCCTCCTGCCTGCCTTCATCTTCCCATCCCCAGGCAGCACATCCTCCACACCCCCTCTCTTCTGGGCACCCATGGGTGCTCCCTTGGCTTTGCAGGACCCTGTCTGGGGCTCAGGGATGCCTTTTGGGCAGTGAACAGTCTGGGTGAAGTCCCAGTGTCCTCACCTCCCTAAGGCAGTGATGTTATGTTGCACCATTGCCTGCCTGTTTGGGTTTTTTTGTTTTCTTTTCCTAAATGCCATTTTTGAAGGATTTCACAAGCCCCGTGTTTAACAGATAGGGTCTTGCTCCGGGCTGCTATGTGGTTCGTGGCTGGCTCACCCACGCTCTCCAAATTACATTGGCAACGGCTGGGGGGGCCAACAGATCTTGCCTCAGGGGGAGGCAATGGGAGGGACAGGGATGAAGCCAGGAAATTAATAGCAAAGTGGTGAAATCAAAGTCACATATATATATTTTTTTTTCCCTCCCTGCCTAAAGCAAAGTACCAGACGTATGGACTGGCAGGCTTTTGAGGGCAAATAGCTTCCAGCATGCAAAACCCACGATGCTCCTCTTGTTTGCCCCATGGAAAATAACCCGTGGGGGCTGCTGAGGGTGCCCCAGGCTGGGTTAAACCGTAGATACTCAGCTTTGGGTACTTGGGAGACTGGAATTTGTGCCTGGGCTAAAGGCTGAGCAGGAGGAAGCTTCTGCTCCTGCCAACGTGCCACATGTCGTGATGGGCAGCAGAGGCCGTTGGCATCTCCCTTGGAATTTTCCTCCATGTCCTCTCTGGGATTTATAGCTCTTCAGCAACAAGTGAGGGGGATAGGAAGCAAAGGACCACCCGGTTTGAGGGGCTTGAGGAGTGTTACGCCCCTCCTGTGAGCCTCACTGCCTCTGGGAGGGGATGTTGGTATTTGTATTATCGATAATTGTAATATATAAGATATTTATATGATGCTCGGAATCACCCGAGCTGCTCCAGCTGGTCCTCCCCAGTAAATTCCCTAAAGGGGGAAGGTCATTGAAACCTCCACTTCTCAAAAATAATTGTGGTGCTTGTTCTCTCCTCTTTGGGCTGCTGATCAGCCACGCTTGTCACTTTGGCTGGCATTCATTGGGGAGGTAATTTTGATCTTTGAAACCACCTAAAAATGCTGTAAGCGTATGCCCCTGTGCTGCCTCGATATCATCAAAGGTGTTGGGGGTGTGAATTCATCCCTTACCCTGGGTGAGCCAGGGGGTGACAGCTCCCGGGGCGCGCGGCGACGAGATGGAGACCTGTCCACGTGCTCCCACATCGCCATCCTGGAGCATCAATTAATGCAAAAATGAATGTTCCTCACCCTGGGTGAGCACTCAGGGCTGTCCATAGGGATGGCTGGGAAGGGGTTTCTCCTCTAAATTAGCAGCAAGTCTGGTGCTTCCCCTCCCTCGTCCCTTTAGTCCAGGCGCGGGGCGGTGCTGCGGGAAGCCGGTGCGCGCTTCCCACCCAACGGTAATTCAGGAATTCTTTTAACAGCTTGGAAGGGAACCCATTGCTTCAAATTGAAGTGGAGCCCACCTCGGAGGTGAGATGGCTGGGACTCGCTCCTGTGCTTAATGGCCCTTTGTTTTATGTACATCCCGGGGCACTTCTTGCAGATAATTTTAGCATCTGTGCAGCAAAATGGCTGAAAATCAAATTAAGGGCCGGATCTGATCCGTGTCCCCATCCCATGAAGAAGGACCCTGATGGGCTTCGTGTCTGCCCTCAAGTCTACCATTAAATAAGCTTTTCTGAGGCGTGTTAAAGATGTGGTGGAGGGGAAGGGGTGGAGCGGGGGAAGATGAGGATGAAGCTTTTAATTGTAAATCCTGTAGGAATATAGCATCACGGGAAAAGTCAGACCCATCCCGGGGGTTGCCAGGGTGGAGGCAGTTGATATTATCTTGGCCAGGGTAAGAAGAAATGTTGCTTTCAGACAGATGAGTTAAATTCTCCTCTTATATTTAACCCCTTTCTGGGCTGCACAAAAGGCACCTTCCCGGTTTCTTGGGGTCTGAGCGAGGAGTAGGTGGGTTGGTGGGGTTTGATCCACGTTTCCCTTCCTTGCCCAACGTTTTTCCCCCGTCGTGTTTTATTGCGCTCCCTTTGCCCTCCCCGCCCCAGAACGAGGAAGGCGCCGAGGAGGTGCAAGAATCCGAGGATGACTTCGAAGAGATGAACCTCTCGCTCCTCTCCGCCCGCAACTTCCCCCGCAAAGCCAGCCAGACCAGCATCTTCCTCCAGGAGTGGGACATCCCATTCGAGCAGCTCGAGATCGGCGAGCTCATCGGCAAGGGCCGCTTCGGGCAGGTCTTTCATGGGCGCTGGCACGGCGAGGTGGCCATCCGCCTCATCGACATCGAGCGGGACAACGAGGACCAGCTGAAGGCTTTCAAGAGGGAGGTGATGGCGTATCGGCAGACCCGGCACGAGAACGTGGTGCTCTTCATGGGAGCCTGCATGAGCCCTCCCCACCTCGCCATCATCACCAGGTAAGCCCTGACATCTCGTGCTCAGCTGGAATACTTTTATCTTCCCAAAATGCATTCCTGGAGCGTGTCCAGAGCAGGGTAATGAAGCTGGGGAAGGGTTTGGAGAGCAAGTCTTATGAGGAGCGGCTGAGGGAATGGGGGCTGTTCAGCCTGGAGAAAACCTTCTCGCTCTCTGCAACTACCTGAAAGGAGGTTTTAGTGAGGTAGGGTCGGTCTCTTCTCCCAAGTAACACGCGACAGGACAAGAGAAAATGGCCTTAAGTCGCACCAGGGGGAGTTTAGATTGGTGGGGGTCAGGCAACTGGTGACAGGATGAGAGGGCACAGTCTGAAACTGTGTCAGGGGAGGTTCAAGTTGAGTCTCAGGTAGCCCTTCCTCACGGAGAGGGTGCTCAGGCACTGGGACGCTCTGCCCAGGGCAGGGGGGAGTCACTGTCCCTGGCGGGGGTTAAGGAGAGGCTGGATGTGGCACTGAGGGCCCTGGTCTGGCCCATGTGGTGGGATTGGGTCATGGGCATGACTTGATGATCTCAGAGGGCTTTTCCAGCCTCAGTAATTCTGTGATTCTGTGAGATTATGAAAAATGTCTTCACTGAATGGGCTGCTAGGCTCTGGGACGGGTTGCCCGGGCAAGCGGTGGAGTCACCATCCCTGGATGTATTTAAAAGATGTGTAGATGTGGTGCGGAGGGACATGGTTTAGTGGTGGACCTGGCAGTTACAGTTGGACCGGATGATCTTAGGACCTACCCAAACAATTCTGTGATTCTATGATTTTCCATCTGCTCTGACTGATGCCGTGAAGCAGAAAGCAAACCCATCCAAGTGGGTCCAGGCAGATTCATCTCCTGTAGAAGCAGAGCTTGAGACAGTTTGTGGCTTTTTTTGAGACACGTTTGTTTTATCCAGTGACAGGAATGAGTTGTTTTAACCAGGAGGGATGTAACCTGATGAGATTGGCAATTTCTGTCTTGTTCTGGTCCTTTTTTTTTTTATGCGTGGTGGCCTGATTGGATTTTTGAATGGGTTATGGGGTCTGGACCCTGCTTGGAAAAACCTCTAATTGCTTAAGGCAGCCGGTTATGTGTGAACACCACGTTTCAGGAATGACTTGATGCTGTGAAAACAACTTAAGTGTCTGATGTGTTGGGTCCAATGATCTGTGAAGGAGCCAGAAGGGCAGCAGAACTGGGAAAACTGGGCGCTTGCAAGGAGGGCTGGTGCTTCACAGGTCTGGAACCCATCCAGGAGATCTCCTCGCTCCTGAGGAGGTGGGAGATCTTGCAAGAGAAGTCACGGAGCATTTTTTCCCTTTCCCAAAGCTGTTGTCTCTGTTACAGCCAAAACTGGGTGTGGGAGTGAATTAGGGCTGGGGCCAGGGGAGGGAGATTGGGGGCTTGAAGGGCTGGTGGCACTGGGGTATATCGGTGCTGGGGATGAGACTGCTGGAAGGGGCTTCTTGCAGCTGGTTGGGGAGCAAGCTGGGATTTGAGGGGCTCCCAAACCATCTCAAACACCTCCAGAGCTGCCTTGGTCTCAAGGAATTCCCACGTACCTGCCATCACCCATGTGCCTGGTGGGAAATGCGGCAGCGAGCAGCCTGGCGTGCTCCTCACACAAGTGGGTGATCACAAAATCTCGAGGCAGGGAGGCTGCAGCAGCTCCCGGAGCAACTGTTGTCATGCAAAATGCATTTATTTTGGAGTATTCGATTATTTCCCTCGCCTCTGGACCCTGTGTTCAGCCCGCGGGGTTCCACGCAGTGCCGCTCTGCATCCCACCACAGGTTAACTTCTCCCGGAGAAGTTTCCCCAAGGTGAGCTTGAGTTTCCAAACCTCCTCCTGGCAGCATTTCAAAAAGCTTCCGACAGCTGTTAACGATGACAAATTGCATCAGCCTGCCCTAACGTCCCCTTGAAAGAGGCACTTCCTGGCCGCCCCCCTTCCCCTCATCCCCACGGGTGCTGGGGTGTTTTCGCTCTGCTCAACAGCCAAGGGTTTCAACCCAAATTTGCGGCTCTTCGTGCCGTTGTTTGCTCACCGGTGGGTTCACAGGCTGCTTTTGGCTCTGCATCCTCTGCAGATGGGTTGACGCTGAACAGGGCTGGTTCTCCCTAGCTTGGCGACTGGAAAAAAAATACTCGTATTATTTTGGACCAGTTCTCCAGCTATTCATTAGCTTGGGACTAAAAGCTCTTTGAAAAGTGTGGAAACATGCGGATTGATGGGTGCGTCAGAGATCCCATCAGTCCGTTACCCCACGTCGCTGCCTCGACGCACCTTCTCTCCCTTTGCAGCCCCTCTTTGCTCAGGCTTTTCAGTCCTATTCAGTTTCAAAAGCTGGGCGATACATTCTCTCTTTTTAAATTTTTTATATATGTACATATTATTTTTTTTTTTGTAGACACCAAGTGATTTTTATTCTAATGCCTCTTTATACAAAACCGTAAAGGTGCCATTTCTGACAGTTTGACAAAATGAATATGTACGCTGTGGTAGCTTGATGCATTAATATGAGGTCTGGGGAGCTCTTGCTTTTCTTCCCAGCTGCACTCAGTCCTTTTTTTAAGGTCAAAGCTGAGCTTTATTGGGTTGCCTTAAATATAACCTGTGCTCGCAAAGCCTCTGAGCACTGCCTGCAACTGTCGACCTGCTTTTATCTGTATTCTTCGAAGGCTGAATTGACACTGCAGTATGTTTATTTATTTTTTTTTTTCAATTGCAACAGGAAACCTGTTTGATTTTTTCCCCTCTGGGATTTCTGGGGTACGATTGGTTCGTGGCCAGTGCTGGTTCTGGGCTGGCTATGGAGATGCAGGAAAGCTGAGGGGGCTCAGCTCAATCTCAGGGAATTTTTGGGAAGCCCATGAGTGCACATCCCTTAGCCTGCAGGTCATCTCCAGACACAATTTGTTCTCCTTTTGAGGCTTCTTGAGGGGGTTCTGTTCTGCTGGTGCTTCCCCACGAGGCATCTCTGGGCTTCTTGAGGGAAAGCATCCCTTGCATTTCCTGGGGTGAACGTTTTTTAGGGACTTCTCGGGACATCTCTGATCCTCTCCCGTGGCGAAAAGCCTTGGAAGGAGGTCTCCATCCCACGTGTGCCTCCTTCTCCGGCTTTGCTTCTTGGAAGAGGCTGGTGTTTAGGAACCAAAGAAAGTCTCCTGCCATGGCATAGTCGGGCATTGTAGGGAATGAGTCTGGGAAGAGGACAATGTGGTGTGAGCTGGGCTGGGAATGGATATTGGGGATGCTGGGAGGATACTGGGAATGGTCCGGGATGTTGTACTGGAGGAGGAGGGAGGCTGCATCATCACTCTTCTGAAGGGACTCAAGTTTCCCCCTGGGTTTACGGGAAAAACTTTAAGCCAGGCTTTGCTTGCAACGGGGGAAAATCAGTCCCTGCTTTCTGGTGGGTGCCTAATTACAGCTACAAACCTGGGATGTCCAAATTTCCTCACCCGCTCCTCTCCGTGCGTGTCCCGGGGTCGAACCGGCTGTGTGTGGCAGAAGCCCCTTTTCTGCTGGGTGCCCAGAGGTGGTCGCTCGAGGAACGTTCTTTCCGCCAAGGGGAAAAACAGTTTCTTGTAGCTGTTAAAGAAATCTCCGTCTTCCTGCCGGCATGCAGCTGCCAGTCCCTGGAAGGGGCTTTACCACGCCGCGCCAGAGGGGGTTATTTATAGACGGGTTTATTTTTACTCTTTCACGTCCCTACGTTTTCCTTCCTGCTCGCTTGTGATATATAAAGATTGTCTCATTAGCAGAAAGACGTCTTCCCCTCCAAGCACCGCAGGCAAAAGCTGGAGAGGGGAAACTGAGGCAGCAGCTTGCCATGATGCTTCAGGTTAACGCTCTGATTTTCTCTGTATAAACCATTGGGACCAGATGACTGGGACCAGTGCTGCTTAATATCTTCATCAAGGATGTGGACAGTGAGAACCAGTGCATTTGCAGATGACACCGAGCTGTGTGGTGGGGCTGATCGTATGTCGTCCGGCGGGAACTGGGTGAGCGGGAGAATTGGGCCCACGTGAACCTCATGAGGTTCAACAAGGCCAAGCGCAAGATCCTGCAGCTTGGGTCGCTGGTATGAACGCAGGCTGGAGGATGAAGGGATGGAGAGCAGCCCTGCGGAGAAGGACTTGGGGGATGAAAAAAATGAATATGAGACAGCAATTTGTGCTCACAGCCCAGAAAGCCCATGGCATCCTGGGCTGCATCCAAAGCAGCGTGACCAGCAGGGCGAGGGGGGGGATTCTTCCCCTCTGCTCTGCTCCGGTGAGACCCCACCGAACGCAGGCTGGAGGATGAAGGGATGGAGAGCAGCCCTGCGGAGAAGGACTTGGGGGATGAAAAAAATGAATATGAGACAGCAATTTGTGCTCACAGCCCAGAAAGCCCATGGCATCCTGGGCTGCATCCAAAGCAGCGTGACCAGCAGGGCGAGGGGGGGGATTCTTCCCCTCTGCTCTGCTCCGGTGAGACCCCACCTGCGGTTCTGGGGTACCCAATATAAAAAGGGCATGGGCTTGGTGGTGAGGCACTGGCACAGGTTGCCCAAAGAGGTGGTACTTGCCTCATCTCTGAAAACATTCAAAGTCAAGTTGTACAGGGCTCTGAGCACCCTGATGTATCGCAGGTGTCCCTGCTCGTGGCAGGTGGGTTGGATTAGATGACCTTTAAAGGTCCATTCCAACTCAAACCGTTCCATGATTCTTGATTGTCTCTTAAAATGACTGTCTGGGTCGGAAAGGAAAGGAAGAAATTCAGCATCTTTTGGCAATGGGGAGGTGGCGACTCCAAAGAGCGCTTCCATCAGAGCCGCTAATAGATTTTCTCTTGGGTAATGAGCGGTGCGGACAGTTAACATTCATCTTAATTAGTCTTGAGCAAGAGCGAATCTGAGCCTTGGCGCTTTGAGCTTGGCGTAATGGATAGCACGAGACGGCATCAAAGACCTCAGCCCAGTGGAAATGAAAGGACTGAAAAAACCTGCCGTGTTTGC